CTTCATTTTGACTGTTGCTTGGTTAAAAATGTACTCTAAACATGTCTATATGAAAAGTACAGAGTCCACCTTATTAGAGTCTAGCGGCCACATTGACAAACATTTTAACAGGAACCATTGATGCTACCTTCTTTGCCTCACTACACATTAACCATTTAAAAGTACAAAGATACAGGGCTGCCATGTTATTTTTCAGACTTAAACCTGATAAACACTATCCCACCTAGTTTGCTTAAATGGGAAGACAAAAAACAACACAATCACATCCATTATATTTTCCCAAGAAGTAATTATTTTTGACCTTCATCAAAAAATATAATATACTGCCTGTTGCTTAATTACCACACAAAATGATTTTCAAAGTAATAATGATGGGACAAATCTGCTTAACTCTGTTATCCCTTTATTACCCCCTGGATCAAATGTAAATATTTCCATTTGAATTCACAGAGATACTATATGGACAGGTAAGAAAGATGTATTATAAATATGATGCATAAAATATTGTAGAGAATAAAGAAGAATGGCTAATGGTCATCATAGGTTTGTGAGATTCTTCAGACTCTTTTTTCATTTATATATAGTGCAGAGAGTCATGTTCTGGTATGAGATCGTATGTAAACTCAAATCTCCTTTATCCTTCAGTTTTGATTTTGGTAACCCTTATTTGATCACAAACAAAAGTTAAGCCAAGTAATCCAAATTTGCAAATAAACTAATATTAACACAGCAACAGTTTTCCAAAGCTTTCTGAAAAAGTAAATTTCTGATTGTATTCCTTTGTGTATAAGAGATGGTAAAAGCTATTGTGTATGTTTGAGGAAGCTCTCTGCAATTCAGTCTCCAAGTTAGGTTGCAATAGTAGCTAGTAGCTAGCATATTAAGATATTATTTAAATAACAAATAAAAGAGAGATAGTAATAGTAAGACTGTTTTGTAAATAATTTGGAAAAAGTGCATCAAACCCTAGACAAACACAAGGTTTCTTCTATTGACTAAAGTATGCACAAGTTCTTTTTCCTCAGACTTTTGTACAAGGTTTGAAGAAGACGTAGTTGCTTTAATGAAACATATCATTAAAGTATTGCTTCTTTAATATTAAACCAATTTGGCCTAAAGTGCGCTAGGGAAGGGGAATCCAACTCAGTTTTATTAGATTAGTTTACAAAGTTCATTGAAAGTATGAGACAGGTAAGTGATAGCTCTTCATTCTATTCCATACAATATTAGCTGCTTCTGGCTAACATCTTGTAGTGCAGGGGTTCCCAACCCGGGGTGCTCACATCCCCTGGGGGTATGAGATGATATTCCAGAGGGTGCAAAAACTTGGGTTTAGAAGTTTCAAAATTATAGTGTATATGCATAATTCTTTGTTTCAAAATTTTGTAAGGGGTGCGAGAATATATCAGAAGCGTTCTAGGGGTGCGGGGTATAGAAAAGGTTAGGAGCTGTCATAGTGGATCTAATGTACCCTATTTTTCCCCCAACAGCAATTGCCATCTGTTCATCCACACACCAAAAGTAGTTCTAAGTTGAGAATATGTGAAGAAAAGAGTTATGGTGAAGGCAAGTTTAATTCCCTGGGATCTTCCAAATTCCATCACAATTTATTTGCCAAGAAGGATGGAGTTGTCATTCCTCTAATTTTAATAGAGTAATACTTCATGTTGAATTACAGTGTAATTTCTTTGTGCTATATTTTGTACTAGAACACCCACACTGTCTACATAAATGAGTTCATTACAAGACCATATTGCTTTAATGGCTTTCAATTTTTCTATAATAACTTGATTAAACATTTAAACAGTTAAAAAGATAAAAACTAATATAAACTAATGGAAAGAATAAAAAATAGAAAATGCAGAAAATAAAAAATAGGAAAGAAAAAAAAATTAAGAATATAGGAAAGAAAAAGAAAAGAAACAGATAAAAATGACTTCCTATTTCATCACAAATATAAACAATTTCAGTTAACTTGTCACCTTCTCTTAAAATGCAACAAATGACTCGTTCTTTCCATATCTTATCTCTTAGCTGTAAACAAATCCTTAAAGCCTAGTGATCATTCAATCCTGATGAACAAAAGTCCATTAGTTTTTTTTTTTTCATTTTTGAAATGCATTCATTTTCATTCTTTCTAACAAACTTCTTCAGTCTGGGTCATTTTTTTTAATTTGCTATTTATATATGTCTTCTAATTATTAAGCCATCAGCTGATTTCATTTGTATATCCAGTAAAGCAACTTTTTCTATATCACTTTTGTAGCCTGTCACTTTAAATCCATTTTAAAACCAATCTCAGTCTTGTCTGATAAAACTTATTCCTCTTTCATAACTTCTTTTAAACACTATCTATAATGGCAGGCAATCTTGAAATTGACTTCATCATTCACAAAAAAAAATATTTCAATAAATCTGATATTAAGATAGATTGCGCCTTTCTATGTAAGTCACATTTAAGTGTTTTTCTCTTTTAATCTTTAGTTCCTTCTTAAGTTCCTTCCTTCTAATACCATTATAGTAATTTATTCTAACCAAAAGTACTTTAGGGATTTCCATTGCCATTTTTAATGCAGACATCTCACTTCATAGATGTTTATAGATTGATATTATAACTTATCGAAATATCAGCCAACAACACAACTCATTAACATTTTCATGTATATTTTTAGTGATGATGACATCAGGTCAATTTTAACATTGTGTAAAGAAATGTTTATTATAATTTCACTCAGTTATCAATAGGCAATACATTATACAAAATATCAGGACCATAGGATCAAATAAATATATAAAAATGTTCGTAGTCCTTTCTCCAGTAGAATTAAATGGAAAGAAGAGAACCAGGTAATTTAGCTTCAAAGAGATAGAGATTACAGTAATTGCTGTAAGAAAGATCAAACATTGCATGCACACACACACACACACACACACACACACACACACAATGAAGATTATTCTCAGCATTCCCAATATTTAGTTACTTTAAAAATAAAGCTTGTTTTCTGCTTTTTTACAGAAGGAGAGAATATATTCATTCTACTAGGTTGAGAAAACATTCAAATGAAAATTTTACCAGAGAAGTATGTAGGAACCTGTCTCCTTTAAACCTTGAATACATTCTGAACAGTGTTCAGATTTCTATTGGAATAAAATAATAGGCCAAGTACATTTTTGTTTAACTCACTTGGCAAAAGTTAAGAACATGTGAACCATTCAACAATAGAACATGTTGCAAAGGGCATATAGAACAGCAATGTCTTATTTATTAAATTTTGCCCCCCCATCTTTTTTCCAAAATATCTTAATGCAGAATAATATTCAGTTTCCCTATTTGCTCTTTAATACATGCAAATTGCTTTTATTTAGGGAAGGTTGTCATTCAAAATAATGTGATAATGGGCCAATTAAAAAAAAATTATGAAGGTACCATGCTGGATTTTTTTAGAAACAGAACCTGAAGACACAAATTCCTCTCAGAAGAGAGTGGGAAGTGTGTGTGTGTGTATATATATATATATATATATATATATATATATATATATATATATATATATATATATATATGTAGGTCTTGGGTTGTTCGGGTTTTCTCCCACGTAAAATTGGAAGTGTCTTGGCGACGTTTCGACGAAGTCCCATTCGTCATCTTCAGGCTGGTGCTTTCAGCTTCGTGCTTTGAGCAGCAATGTGTGGTCTTAGCTGTTTCTTCCTTTTAACTGCCAGTGGGGGTATGAACTGATTGGGTGGGAGCTTGGCTGTGTTCTGATTGGGTGGAGGTGTGTTCTGAATGGTTAGGGGCTTGGCTGTGCTCTGATTGGCTGGGGGAGTGTTCTGTTTGGTTGTGCTCAGGTTAGTCTGAGTTGCAGAGGGGTTTAAGATTTTGGGCTGCCTTGCTATTTTTGGCTTCGCGTTCGTGGTCGTGCCTCCTCTTCATGGAGGGTGTCAGTTTGCTTCATGTATGGATTGGAGGGTTTAAAGTGGCTAATGATGCAGCTGTGGTCTGGCTTCTGGTTTGTGGTCGTGCCTCATCATCGGTGTGGCTTTGGGTTTGCTTTTTGCGTGGATGTGTGGTGGTGATCCTGTGTGGTTTTTGTGAGTGTGGGTCTGGTATCATTTTTTGTGTTAGGGAGTCGTTTGTCAATAAGGGCGGGTTTCCAAATGGCTGGTAGGCGGGAGGTATCATCTCGCTTGTTCATGCTGTGTGGGCGTTTTTCTATCTCGATGGCTTCTCTGATTATTCTGTTATTAAAATGTTCACTTTTGGCAATGGTTCTGGTATTTTTAAAGTCAATCTCGAAATCACCAATATCCTCTGCACCAGCAAGCCACCCAAAAGCAACTTACCCAAAGAAGAACAGACAGCACTACGTAACCTGAAAGAAGACACCAGCATAATAATCCTACCAGCAGACAAGGGCAACGCCACGGTGGTTATGAACACATCTGACTACCAAACCAAATTAACCAACCTACTCCAAGACTCCACATACAAACCCCTAAATACAGATCCCACCACCTACCTGGAAAAAACCACCAGATCCAAAATAAAAGCCTCCCCCATTAGCGAAGAGATCCAGCAAAGAATCATTCCCAGAGAGAAATCATCCAGATGCCCCAAACTCTATGGTCTCCCCAAGATACACAAAGAAGGAACCCCACTCAGACCTATAGTCAGCTCCATAGGCTCACCTCTACAAAACCTAGCCAAATTTCTCGCCAAACAACTACAGCCCTATGCAGAATCCATCACCTCACACGTAAAAAACTCATTCCAGTTTATAGAGATCATAAAGAAACAAAACTTACAGCCCAGCGACCTACTAGTGAGCTTCGATGTCATATCCCTCTTCACCCAAGTGCCTATCAAAGAAGCCTTGACAGCTATTCAAAACAAATATAACCCCCCCAAACACATCTTAGATCTGACCAACCACTGCCTATCCAACACATACTTCATCTATAATGGACAAAAATACAAACAAACAGAAGGAGCACCCATGGGATCACCCCTCTCACCTGTCATTGCCAACCTCTACATGGAACACTTTGAAACCCAAGCTCTAGAAAAATCGGATCACAAACCCAAACTCTGGCTCAGATACGTAGACGACACCTTCATAATCTGGCCACATGGGAAAGAAAAACTGGACAACTTCCTCACACACCTCAACAGCCTACACCCCAAAATACAGTTCACCATGGAAACAGAAGCTAACAACCAACTTCCCTTCCTGGATGTCTTAGTCTACAAGAAATCCAATGGCTCCCTAGGACACACCATCTACCAGAAGAAAACACACACAAACCGCTATCTGCACGCTCTCTCACACCACCACCCAGCACAGATCAACTCTGTAGCCAAGACACTCATCTCCAGAACAAAACGCTTAGCTGACGAACAACACCTAAAACCCGAACTACACACTCTCACCAATGTACTAACATCCAATGGATTCCATAGAAATAAGATTACAAACCTAATCCAAAAAGAAACCCCCACTAAAATCCAAGACAAAGAACAAGAAAACGGCAAAGCCCTCCTCCCATACATAAAAGGCACCACAGACAGAATCAGTAAGATCCTCCATAAACACAACATCAAAACAGCATTCTGCACAAACAGAAAAATATCCACCATCCTTAGAAACCCCAAAGATAAAATTGAATTAGAAAATCAAGGAGTATACGAAATCCCATGCACCACTTGTCCCACCACATACATCGGACAAACCAACAGAAGAATAAGTGCACGCATTGAAGAACATAAGAACTCAGTCAAAAAAGAGGAACCAACATCTTCCCTGGTCCAACACCTTAAAGCCACAGGACATGAAATTGACTTTAAAAATACCAGAACCATTGCCAAAAGTGAACATTTTAATAACAGAATAATCAGAGAAGCCATCGAGATAGAAAAACGCCCACACAGCATGAACAAGCGAGATGATACCTCCCGCCTACCAGCCATTTGGAAACCCGCCCTTATTGACAAACGACTCCCTAACACAAAAAATGATACCAGACCCACACTCACAAAAACCACACAGGATGTCACCACCACACATCCATGCAAAAAACAAACCCAAAGCCACACCGATGACGAGGCACGACCACAAACCAGAAGCCAGACCACAGCTGCATCATTAGCCACTTTAAACCCCTCCAATCCATACATGAAGCAAACTGACACCCTCCATGAAGAGGAGGCACGACCACGAACGCGAAGCCAAAAAATAGCAAGGCAGCCCAAAATCTTAAACCCCTCTGCAACTCAGACTAACCTGAGCACAACCAAACAGAACACTCCCCCAGCCAATCAGAGCACAGCCAAGCCCCTAACCATTCAGAACACACCTCCACCCAATCAGAACACAGCCAAGCTCCCACCCAATCAGTTCATACCCCCACTGGCAGTTAAAAGGAAGAAACAGCTAAGACCACACATTGCTGCTCAAAGCACGAAGCTGAAAACACCAGCCTGAAGATGACGAATGGGACTTCGTCGAAACGTCGCCAAGACACTTCCAATTTTACGCGGGAGAAAACCCGAACAACCAAAGACCTACATACAAATACCCGCGAAAACCTCAGAAAACATATATATATATATATATATATATATATATATATATATATATATATATATGTATGTATATATATTTGTTGTTGTTAATTGCGAAGTCGTGTCCGACCCATCGCGACCCCATGGACAATGTTCCTCCAGGTCTTCCTGTCCTCTACCATCTTCTGGAGTCCTATTTAAGTTCACACCTACTGCTTCAGTGACTCCATATATATACATATACATACATATAAATCTGATTGAGACTCAGATTTCTGATAGGGTCTCTCTTAGTGTAAATCACACAAAAGCAGGAATGAGACACATGTTGCTCCCAATGGAACAACATTGTCAATCTTATTTTATCCCATCAGAATTAATGGGAACCACTGGTTTATATTAGAAAACATAAAAGGTTTTATTTTTCCTAAACTTTTGCTACAGATTTGAAAGGTGGGCTGCTCATCATTAATAGATTTTTGAGCACACAACCCTTGGTTTATAAATCTCAATAATTAGTATGAATTAATGCTGATTGAAATGCTCTGATCTTCATCAATGTGACTCTCTCACTGTACTGAACACTGGACTAACCTTGGTCTAGAGCAGTGGTGTGATTCAAATATGTGAACAACTGGTTCTTTGTGTGGGTGCTGCTTCTGGAAGTCCATTCTGGGCCTGGACAACAAAAAATTAGCTACCGGTTCTGCCAAAGTGGTGTGAACCAGCTGACTCCCACCACTGGTCTAGAGTGGATTGAATCCTGGAACAGAGCTATGATATCATAACCATAATTTGGAACCAGGAAAGCTTCAGCCTCCTTGAGAATTTTGGCCAGTGCTAATATTGGATGAAGTGTAACAGCTGCCTCAAATAGATTTTGAATGTCACAAAAATCAGCTAATATTGGTCTTGGATTTCAACTGCTCACATGTTCTCCCCTCCCCCGCTCCCCTGTGTAAACTTATTCAGTTGACTTGGTTGGCTCTCCTTACTTTTCTAGCTGTATTGATGTAGGCTAAGCCAAGAATTCATGCCTTATGGAGCAGCCCCTCCAGGAATCAAGGGAAATGCATTTACAGTCAAGTCTCAGAGTTCTTGCAGGAAAGACTACCATCTGTCTCATCTCAAAATGATTTTCTACTCCCAAGCAACATAAGTAGAAGAAAAGTACTGTAATTAATTTGGGGGCTGGAAAATCAAGGTTGCAGTCCTATGCACTCACACATGGCACACAGATTTCAACAGAGGTTTCATACATATCATTATGTCCCAAGTCCTGGTTTAAACTAGTATATTTCCAGTGTGCAAGTATAGCTCAGGGCTTTATTTTATACTGCTGGATTTTATACTTCTTCATCCTTTCGTTGGCTGGCCTGATCTTAGCTTTGATCCTTGGTACTGCTCTGTGGCATTAGATACATTAATCCTCTCCTCATTTTAAAATTTCTCCAGCTCTGTTATCTTCTTTCTAGTGTACTTCAACCTCCACTAGTCCTGCTTCAGTGAACTCAACTTCATGCCCTGCATCAGCGGCTTTCTGTGCCATCCTTTCCAGAATTGCTGTATCTTTCAGTGTCTGTCCTCCTCAGTCAATTGTCAACTTCTTTTATTATTCCATCTTTATACCTTTCTGCTTTGCTTCATTTCCTGCCTCACCTATTATTCTTTTAACAACCTGTTAACCACTTTGGTATTCACAAGTTTATTTTGCTTTTGGTTTAATTTTAAAACTTTTCTTTCTCTTTCCTTGTGCATTTATTTTGTTCTTAGACAATTTATTCTCTACTGTTTAATTTATCTGAGGTGAGCACCAAGTCCTGGAAAACATAACAAATGGTATTTATGAACACGAACAGCAAAATAATTTGCTGATATCATTGAACTTTCATAGAGTTTTCTATAGGATAAGCTAAACAAAAAGCAGAGCTATATTGGATATGGTTAAAAAAAAAAACAAGCTAGCAGTCATGATGTGTATTCATATCTCCACCAAAAAAGCTAATACAATCCTTGGTTGTATTAACAGAGGCATAGAATCAAAATCACGTGAAGTATTAATACCACTTTATAAATCCTAAGAAAGACCACATCCTGGAATACTGCATCCAGTTTTGGTCACCACATTACAAAAAAGATATTGAGACTTTGAAAAAAAACACAAAGAGCAACTAAGAGAATTAAAGGCCTGGAGGCAAAAACATATGAAGAATGGTTGCAGGAATTGGGTATGGCCAGTAGAGAAAAGAAGGACTAGTGGTGACATAATATCAGTATTTCAGTATTTGAGGGGCTGCCACAAAGAAGAGGGGGTCAACCTATTTTCCAAAACACCAGAAGGCAAAACAAGAAACAATGGATGGAAACTAATTAAGGAGAGAAGCAACCTGGAATTAAGGAGAAACTTCCTAACTGGGAACAATTAAATAGTGGAACAGCTTGTCTTCAGAAATTGTAGGTGCTTCATCACTGGAGATTTTTAAGAAAAGATCAGACAGCCATGTGTCTGAAATGGTATTGGATCTCTTCCTTGAGTAGGGGGTTGGACTAGAAGACCTTCAAGGTCCCTTCCAGCTGCATCCTGATTGATTGAATTATCTGTTTTTATGTATGTTGTGACACACATACAAACAGGCAGAGCTTTGATTGACCCATCATGGCTGCTTTGATTTTTCCCCCTTCTTTTTACTATACCCTGCAGGCATCCTTGAAATTTTCCAAAAACAGATCCAGGAATTCACATTACTGCCATCCTGCTGTAATTAGCCAACTCAGGATGGGTAGATTTGGTTTTGATCTGTGCAGCTTTTGCTTGCTTTTACTCAGAATTCCATACTACTTTTCTGGATTCATTTGCAATTCTAAAAAAGTTTCTCCAAATTATATTAATACTTATTGACGGGGGTGGGGAGAATTTAAAACCTAGTAGTTGTAATTTTTAATCTACAAGTCTGTGAAAGGTAAATCAAGGCAGATTTTATAATTAGAGTGCAACAGTTGTTTGGGAGGTAGTTATTGGGAGTTTTGCAACCTTTGCATCAGAAGCTACTCAGATGCCTCCAAATCAGTGGTGAGATTCAAATATGTGAACAACCAGTTCTCTGTGTGGATGCTGCTTCTGGAAGTCCATTCTGAGCCTGGGCAACAAAAAATTAGCTACCGGTTCTACTGAAGTGGTGCGAACCGGCTGAATCCCACCACTGCTCCAGATGTGATATTGTTAAAGAAATGCTGAAATACTATTCTACTTGGCTTTTGTACACAGAATGGTTGTGGCAGACAAAGGATCTTAAGAGCTCTGGTGCAGATCACTTCATACCATATAGAAATTACAATATGAAATTCCTCAAACATCCCTATGCTTGCTTATTCTCCAGTGAGATAGCAAAGGTAATATTAAACAAGAGTATTCCTGACATCTCACTTTCTATTTGGAAGTCAAATGACAAATTTGCAGTATGTTAAGATTTTGCCTAATAATTAAAAATTTTTTTGTTATAACCTGCATAATTGCTAAAGGAGCTAGACCAGATTTTCAGAGTCTTAGGAAAAGTCCCAGTGTTCTCTTGGCAAATGGAACAGGGTTAATTCTATCGTGTTTGAGCTTTTGCTGGCCGGCACAGAGATGCCTTGAAGAGGCTTTTGCTCTTGAAAATCACTTACAAATAAAGTAAGTCTTATCCAATAACACTTCTTTTTTCTTTTCTTATAGATACTTTTTATTAAAGTGGTTTTCAACAGAATAAAAACAGTCAAACTTTTCGATGAAGTAAGAATAATGAACAGTAAAAAGAACAGTGAAAAAGAAATGAAAGAAGTGGAAAAGAATGAGAAAAAAAAAAGTTCCGAAGAAGTGGCTTAACAATAGTTAAAAATGCATTTATATTTTACCTTCTCACTCTCTAATGTTACACAATAATTTACTTCTTTATTTCTTATTGATTTTTTATTTGTATTTAATATATTCATTTTATTGTTTGGAATAAAGTGACTTGTGCTTGATTGTTAACCAGCTTGCGGAATATTTTTTTTTGCAAAAAAGCAGGATATAATCTTGGGCAAAGC